TAATTCTTTAGAACCTTTTCATTGTTTTTCTACTCATATTTTTTCTCTAAACCTAAATAATCAAACTCCTTCACGATATTTACTTGCATTATGCATTTGATTTGTGTTGTAATAGCTAAGGGTGAAACACAGAATGCATCCTAATATGTCTTCTTACAAATATCACCCAGACTGATCCCCTGCCCCCTACCGCGTTATTTCAATGCACAAATTGCTTACTTTCTCGGCCAAATCCTCCATTGGTGTTACGTATACAGCTTTTGCCTCGGGGCTATTGTCAAAATGACGGAGAATTGCGAATTCCGCACAAACTGTTTTACCGCTTCCATGTGGTGCACCAATGAATACATTATCGTTGCCTTCGTAGACAGTTCGGAAAACTAAAATAAAACATAGATTTCATCAAATTTTAATAACTCACAGTCATAACAGAATAACAGAGCCTGGCGTATGTGCTTTTGGCATATGGCCAAAAAAGCCACAGGGAAACTGTGCAGATTAACTTCATTAATCAATCGAAAAAATGCAAAGATATGCTGAAAAAGCGTAAAAATTTGCTAAAAACTCCTCTGAAGTGCTACTAAAAACACATAACTTAAATCTAGCGTAAAAAGAAAGGAAAAATGTACATCTCTTCATGGAGAAACTGGCATCAGCAGAGAATAAAGGGCTTCAATGAATACTTATAACAGAGATATAACAGTGATAACAGTAAAGCCTTCACTGAAGGTCAAAATAATTAACAAATTAGATAATTGGCAAACTTCCAAAAATGGCGGATATTAACTCCGTTAGTCCATTATCGTTGTAAAAAGTACGTTATTTCTAGGGCTGTAGCAAAAAAAAAATCATTTTCGATCGTTAAAATCAAAAAAATAACTGCAAACCGGGACAAAAAAGCAATTTCATCGAAGTCATAAATTTTGTGGAGTTAAATTTTTTTTGTAGATTTTTTTACAATTTTTTAGATTTTTTTAAAATTTTTCCCTTAGATTTTTTCAGAGCAGCAAAAATGCAAAAAATTGTAAAACGATGTGAGCATACCTTGTGTTTGGATAGGATTGAAGACTGATATATTTTTTTGCATGAAAACTGATTGGAAGGTTTTGTTGTTCAGCGCCGAAAGTGGCAGAGGTTGCAAATCGAGTAATTCCGTTGGTGGTGGATATTTCTCCGGTAAAATTAGATGCCGAAATGATATTGGTAGAATTGTTTCACTGCCCAGCCAACGATCAGATACTGCAAGAAAAAAAAGCAGAATTTTCGTGCAAAAGTAACAAAAAACAAATTGTTTCATAGCGAAGACCAGCAGCAGTTTGCTGCGCCCAGCTGTTTCAGGCCGCCTCTTGTTGTATCCCAGACAGTTTAATCACAAATCGCGCTTGATGAAAGGAATAAATAGCGACGCGCACCAGACTAGCCGGTGCGATCATGCGTTTTGTCCAATTCAGCCCATCGAACGATTGCCTATTAATGATTTTCACTGCTTTGTACTTTAGTCCATGCAAAAATAGCTCAAATATTGGAAACAGTTAAAAATTTCACGCACCAGAGCATGAAAGCTGAATTCGAAACCTTGGAAGATGAATATCTTTATCCCGAGTTAATAGTTTACTCGCCAAAATTTTCACGAGGCCTAGGTGATACTCAAGAGCGCCGGAACGCTGATTTTGAATAGGCAAGGTTGAGTGTGGGCAGAGGGTCATTACCCTAAAATTTCGGCTTCCTAGACTTCATGGTTCCCGAGATATTAACTTACCCGTGAAGAACTTTCATGGGGCCGTACGTGTAACCTGTGGGTAAGGGAAGACTGAATTTAAATTTGTGGGGTCACACGTGGGTGGGGAACGTTACCCTAAATTTTCAGCTTCCCAGCTTCC